TATTACATACTGCCAAATACTGATAAGTTTCATATATGTGGAACATATCTGAAAAATATAAAATATATTTATAGTAAAAATATATTTTTGTATTACCTGGGATGCCAAAAGTAGACAATACATACTACACAGACAAGTGCACTGAACTTGAGAAATGTATAGAAATGAATTCAACACTACAAGAAATGGAGATTGAGTATGAAGGAGTGAATGAAATAACAAGTACCATTATCAGTGTCATTAGAGGAGTAACAGGAAATAAAACAATAACATCATTAACAATACATGTGAATCATAGATATGGTGCTCCTCCTCCTCCTCTACCTGATGGAGTAATAGAGCAGTTACTAAAGGACAACGACACATTACAAGCTCTTTCACTGGACATACCTGATGAACTCCTACCATCATCACTGCATGAACATAGTAGAGGTGAACACACCACTGACTGCTCTAGAGATAGGAGGAGGATGGTTGAATAGTAGTAAACTGATGGCATCATCACTCCTTCCTCATATCAAAGGATTATACTGTCTGATACTACATGATCCATACCCACAACATTTTCTATTTCTCTCTCATCCCAGTCTACATACACTTACTTTACCACTAGACACAGCTGAGAGTGCTATTGAACTATTTACTATTCTACAAACCAATACTACACTTAAAGGTCTGAGTGTAGAGATAGACGAGGAGAGAGTATATACCAGCAGTATGGGTACTAGTCTACAAGACATGCTAACACAAAACCAAACACTGAAATACTTTGAGATTAGTAGTTGGTATAGTGACATTCCCAGTTCATTCCTACGGTCCTTCCTAACAACTGGTCTCAGACACAACACCAGTCTACAGCAGTTGAGTGTATCCATTCCACTGAATGAAGAGATAAGAACTTTTATTAATGTCATCTCTCAAAAGAACAATCGCACAGAACTTAAACTTAACTTTAGACTAGATCAGTCATGCAGCTGGGAAGAGAAGCAAAAAATAATGACACCATTGTTTTATGAACAGGTACTACCTGCTGTTACTAACATGTTACAGTCACATACAACCATTAGACTACTGCGGATAGAGTGTAGATCTATTAATAAAGAGTTGTCTCAACTTAACTGGATAGAGCTAGTACAACATTTATATGAAACTATCTTCATCCATCCATCACTTGAATATATTGAGATTAGTGATGGAATCATTACCCCTCCTCTCCTGGTGGATACTCTTAAAGATCAAAAGAAGACATTGATTGATAGACACAGAAAAGAACAGCCACACAAACCACTACCAATAGTGGAGTTTAGTAGCTTTTTCTGATTCATTTTTAAGAAAGTTTCAAAAAATAATAGACTATTAAATTTTAATTCATTTTTTTAGCTTAAAACTTTTAAAAATATCTACTCTTTCTATTTTAATTTTGAGGTCAGAGGTGTGGCTATTTGGGGGTTGGTAAAACCGGGCTCGGGAGGGGCTCGGGCACGGGAAATGGCGGGGTAAAACCGGGCTGCCCCGGACTGGGGCTTCATCTATTTTCATGGAATAAGGACTGATATGGAGCTAGTAAGGACATAGAACAAACTACTGAGTAACTGTGCAATTAAATGATTATATTCTTTTATTGTTAAAATTTAGGGAAGCCATGAATTGGGCCCCCTTGACTAATGCTGGGAACAAGGCCCATGTCCAGCAATGAGTGGTCGCGGATTAGTATACTGAGCAATTATCTCCGTATACTACTGGTTGACTTTATACAGGGCAGGAATGGACATTTCCATTTAATAGGCTATATCTTTCTTCAGAATAAGTCTCATCAATTTGCGCACTTCAGTAGCTGTTCTCCATAATTATACCTGTGTTCCTGCTAAATATGACAGCACTTGGAGTAACTTTGTGTGGAACATTTGCAGATTAAAGATGAGGGCAGTCAGTGCCGCCATTTTGTCATTCCTTTATGTATGTATGATAATTTTTTTACTTTTTGAATGGTTATATCTAAATTTCAAACAATTTTTGACAAATTGCGCACTTATTTTGTGAAAGTACAACATTTTTACTGCCCAATCATGCAAAAAAGATAAAGAAATTCAAAACTTTGTTCGGTACTTTAGTCTTCTAAAGGTGAAATAATTTTAGTCGTCTCAGTGATAACGGGTGCAGCAACAAGAGTGAACAAGTGCTTTTCTCTTCTCACGGGAATAATAAAATAAAACTAAGAGTGCTTAACAGCTATACAAGCAAATCATGTCTCTAGATCCTTTTAAAGTAATAACAAGAAGGCCTTTTGTTAGTGGATGAGTCTTCTTGCGCCACGCCTGCCACTTTAACAATAGAATATGAAAAAACTACCATAACCAATTGCATTAAGTAGCATTCAAGAAGTTCCAAGTATCTAGTGAGGTCCCATCCATGAACCAGAAAGACGTTAGCAGGCTTTGTAGGGAAGCGTCCTATCAATCCACCATTGCTGAGCTGCCGTTGCTATGGTAATTCCAATGAATATCATTAAATCAATGCGACCGGAAGTCCCATTGCAATAGCTGGACATGCGGCGCTCTACTCCCATCTGTCTTCTAAGTCCACTTCAAGTTAACTCTTTCATTTTTATTTCTGATTTTATTTGCTGTCATTGTTATCTTAATTCTCATTTTCCTTGATTGTTGATTTATTTTTATTTATTTATATTTATTACTATTATTTTTACTGTTGATCATTATTCATTTCCACTTTTCTTTTTGTTTTCCAGGGGCCCGCATAGCAGTTCAGTCTTGTGTAATATCAAACTTACGCAATTTGGTTTATTGTAATTAATTACCTTTGAGATGCATTTCAATGTCGGATAAGAAGAATAAAAATGTGTGAAAGTGTCTTATGTTCCCAATTTGCTTATAGGACATGTTTTGTAAAAGACAATTTTGCTTGACATAAGAATGATGAAAAA